CGGACTCCACGGGGGCGGTGGGCTGGCTGGGGGCCGCTTTAGGGTCTGCAGGGTTGGCGGGGAGGGGCTGCCGCAGGGCAGCGTGGGCACCGGGACCCCTGTGGACGGTAGAGGTGTGCTTGAGAACTCCGCATCCACTTGTTAATGCAAAAACATTCAAACCTGTAAAGAGTTTTTGTGAGTTTATTTGAGCCGAACTGTGGACAAGTGCCGGGAAGCAAAACCTCAAGGAATTGCGATGATGCTCCGGAGAATGGCGGGTTTTTACCTTGTTTTTATAAATTACCATCAAAGGAGCAGCCGGAAGTGGGTTACATGAGATCCATTGGTGATAGATTAGGGAGGGGGGAGAAGGCAAGGCGGGAGGCCTCTGGGATTGGATAAAAAGTGAAATGATGGACACATGCCTTTTACAGAGGTGGGTGCAGGGTAGTTAACAGTCCACAATTGACATGATGACAATAACCGTGAGGGAGTTTGTGGTCTGGGCCCCGGGGCCATTTGTTGCGCCCTGAGGGCTCCTGAAAGAGGGAAGTTACTAGTTACCCAGACATTTCACAGGTATGTTATCTCAGATGCAGAAAGACAATAGGCTCAGTAAAGATTGGAAATTGATCTTTGTCAGGGAAAATACTGGCCTAGGAAATGACTGCCTTCTATAAACTGCTTTTAGTTAAATTTTTAATTTCAGACCATTCTTTGTACTTACTTTAGGTCTTTGAATTTGCAGAACCGCTATGCAGGCCTTCCCTGAACTAGTCAGGTTAGCATGTGGGCCCCCCACCCCCCCTTTTTTTTTTGTCCATAAACGCCTCTGTCCACAGATTATTTACTGCTGTCTACCCCGCGCTGCGCTGGCGGGGCTGGGGAGCGATGGTGAGAAGGGCCCCACATGGCCTTTGCGGAACTGCCGGTCTCCTTGGGGAGACCCATGCGGGGCCACAATTACGTGTCAGTGATCACGGATGTTTGCCGCGGAGCCAGGGGCACTGCTGCTGACAAGTCATTCATCAAATAGCAATTGAGGTGCTCCAACCGAGTGTGGTTCGCGCGTCCTAGCAGAAGTTGAGTGTATGGAGTGTTACACAGGAACTCAGCCCAGGAGGGTCAGGGATGGCTTTCCAGGTGAGGTGACGCTTGAACCGGGTTTTAAAGGAGCTGCAGAGTAGTTCAGGTGGAGGGATTAGGGTGATACAGGCAAAGGAAACAGCACATGCAAAGGCGTGAAGGTCTAGGTGAGTGTAGTGGTCAGGGATTCCACGGATGTTTGAGTCTGACTGGAACACAGGGTACAAGGAGAGGAGGAACAAGATGCTACAACAGGGACTGGGTCTTGAAAGGTCTCAGGTGCAAGACCAAGGGAGACTGGGTGGAGGTGGAAAAGGCAAGATGATTTCACCCAAGAAGAGTATTAGAATGGAGTCTGGAACAATGAGTTAGGAGTTCATGCTGGTGTTTTCCGAGACATCCCAAGAGCAGGGATCCTGTTCAGTTTTGCAACTCACTAGTTGAGTCCCCTCGGGCCTCCCACTAAATCTTCCTATTAGTTTCTTTATCTGTAAAATGAAGGTAAGAGGCATGTGGTGAGAATTACTGATACCTATATTTTCCATAAAGTGGTAGTTCTCACATCTGGTGGAAAATGTGGCCCCTTTTCTTAGGAAAAATAAACACATAAACCCAGACACAGCTCTGTACAAAGGGGAACCCCTGGTTAGGAAACTTAAAAAAATACTTTTTTATTGAAGGGACGGGGAGAGAGAGAGAGAGAGAAACATCAATGATGAGAGAGAATCATTGATTGGCTGCCTCCTGCACACCCCCCGCTGGGGATTGAGCCCTCAACCTGGGCATGTGCCCTTGACCAGAATCGAACCCCGGATCCTTTAGTCCACAGGCCAGTGCTCTATCCACTGAGCCAAACCAGCTAGGGCTGGTTAGGAAACGCTTGAGGTGGAGTATCCCGGGAGTGTGCCTGGCACACAGCAGAAGTTCAGCAAATGTTTTTGACAGATGAGCCCCTGTCCTCCCTTCCCTGGGGACCTTTCTCACAAAGAGATTCATCAGCCTCTGGGTCTGGCAGGCAGTTGTCTGCCTCCTGACATTGGGGATGAGAGGGTGGTAGGGACAGCTGCTGTGGTTAGAGAGAGGGCTCTGTCTACCTTTGTAGAAACGAGGCTGTGGTGGGGTTACAGGGGGTCACAGCAGGAACAAGGCCCTCCCTGGTAGACTGTCTAGCCCAGCGGTCGCCAACCTGTGGTCCGTGAGGTCCAAAAGGTTGGCGATTGCTGGTCTAGTCTGATGTGCCTTCATTCATCACATGAAGAACAGGCCCAGGGAGAGGTGGGAAGGGGGAGCTCTGGCCCTGGTCGGGAGACCTGCCATTTCACCCCACTCCTGTGTGGCCTGGGGTGCCTTTCCCTGAACCTCAGCTTTCTTACCTGTGAAACCAGGGTGATCACGTTTACCTCAGAAGGCAGGTGTGAGCATTCAAGGAGAGTTGACTGTGTCTGATTTTTAATTATTTGGGACTGTGTCTCACTCTTCTCCCAGATTGTCAGCTCCTCAAACATGGAAGCTGTGTGTGTGGATTGTGGGTGGACAAAAGACTACTCCTTATTCCCCGCCAGACACTCCCTGTCTGGTTAGGAAAACACACCCAGAGCAGTTAGAGAGGGCGTGTGCACAAGGACTGATTGTGCTCTAGGATGCAGGTGGGTAGTGGGTGTCAGGCTCCACCCTTGAGGAGGTGCCCTCTCATTCCCTGTCCTGCCCCGAGGATTGCTCACAGCAGCACTGCCGTGCCCAGAGACCTCCACTTGAGAGGTGAGGATTCTCAGGACCAGAGAACTGGGGTCTGTTAGACCCTAAAGCCAGAGGTCAACCACAGCAGGGAGTTGTCCCCATTGTCCTTTCCCATGTCCTTCAGGTTCTTCACCCACCCGGCCCAGCCTCGCTGCCTCAGTCTCCTCTCTGGTCTCACCATCCTCTCCCTCTCAGGTTCCTTCTGCCCTTTGCCCTTTGTGTTTGGCCAAGTTCATGGGGGACCCTGGGGAGGCCTGCCCACGCTGCCTCCACCCCTGCCCGGATCATGGACTACCTTTAGCCAACCTGTTGTGGGGTTTTTGGTTTTGTTTGTTTATTATTTGTTTATTTATTTTAATTCATCAGATATACCTGGGTTCTATTTCTGACTCTCCACTCTCCTCCCCTAGTCCAGTTAATCTCTCTGTTTTCTTATTATGATAAAATATCCATACCATAAAAGTTACCATTTCAACCATTTATAAATGTACAGTTTGGTGGCATTAATTGCATTCACATTGTTGTGTGACCCCCAAGTTAGTCTCTATGTATCACCTTGTCTATCCTTCACACAGCACCTTCTGTAACAATTTTTTTCTTTCCCACTAGAATGTAAGCTCCATGAGAACAGGGGTAGGGTTAGTGTTCTTTTTTTTTCTTACTACTTCGGGCCCAAAGCCAAACAGTGGTAATAGACACTCAGTAAATATTTGTGGAATGAATGAACGCTTGAGCTTCCATGTATTGAACACAGCAGGTCCTTGAATAATGATACTGCATTCAACATTGTTTCATTATAATGTTGATGAGACACTGTAATCTGTTCACTTAAAGTCACAGAACCTATTGTCAATGTTAAGTGTGGAATTACTATTTATTGTGTGCTTGGCACTTAAAAGTTCTTTATATAAAGTCTTTTTTATGTTATATGTATTACATTCTGTATTACAAAAAAAATGCAAGCTAGAGAAAAGAAAATGTTATTAAGAAAATCACAACACACAGACACTGGGGCGGTGGGGGCTTGCCCGGGGGGGGAAGGGGGGGGGGGGGGGTGTCAATCGGGGAAAAAGGAGACATATGTAAAACTTTAGACAATAATAATAATTTAAAAAAAACAATCATAAGGAAGAGAAAATACATTTATAGCAATGTACATATTTATTGAAAAAACTCCACATATAAGTGGATCTGGCAGTTCAGACCTGTGTTGTTTAGGGTCAGTTGTATTTAGTTTTGTAAGAAACTACCAAACTGTCTTCCAAACCAGCTAGGGCAGAGGCTAGACCAGCCGTGGGCAAACTACGGCCCGCGGGCCGGATTCGGCCCGTTTGAAATGAATAAAACTAAAAAAAAAAAGAGACCATACCCTTTTATGTAATGATGTTTACTTTGAATTTATATTAGTTCACACAAACACTCCATCCATGCTTTTGTTCCGGCCCTCCGGTCCAGTTTAAGAACCCATTGTGGCCCTCGAGTCAAAAAGTTTGCCCACCCCTGGCCTAGACTCTTAACTGCCACAGGCTATACCACTTCTGCATCAGGACAGCTCTACAGTGTCCTGGCCCGGCCATCCCTACAGAAAGGTCACAGTTCAGAGTTTGGGCACCCCAGGCTTAGACAACCTGACTGTCCTCCACAACCTTAAAGACCAGGGCTCAATAAAGATGCATTTGTGGAGGAAAAAGTTGGGGGCACAAATTGGCTGGATTGGCATCGAGAGAGAATGCCTGTTCTCAGCAGCCTTGGGGAAGACCTGAAGACCTTGGGGAGCAGTAGCAGTTAAAGGAGGGGAGGAGTTCAAGACAGGCTTTTAGCTGCCCTGGATCATCCTGGGTCCAACAACCAACCTACCTTCCTTCCTTCCTTCCTTTTCTTTTTTTTTTATTTTTTATTTGTATTGATTTCAGAGAGGAAGGGAGAAGGAGAGAGAAACATCAATGATGAGAGAATCATTGATCGGCTGCCTCCCGCACATCCCACACTGGGGATCGAGCCCGCAACCTGGGCATGTGCCCCAGACTGGAATCGAACCTGGGACCCTTCAGTCCGCAGGCTGAAGCTCTATCCACTGAGCAAAACCAGCTAGGGCCCAACAACCCTTCTTGTCACCCATAGGTGATTTCCTTTCCCTCTTTTGTAACACTTGGTGTTTGTGTGCCCTTGTTGGACTCTTTAGAAAAGCCAGGCTCCTCCCAGAAGTGACACTTAGGGATCAAAGGGCACAAACGGCCTGGTTTGGTTTTACTTAATTAGAATTAGAATAACTTTGTAATGTTTGATAATAACAGTAATACATCAGAGTTACATAGTGATTATGTAGTTAATCATTAGTTACAAAGTTACTAGTGATTATCTCAGGGTTTGAGGGCAGTTATGAGGGATACTTAATGTTCTTCAGCTATAGCCATACCAGCTTTTTCATTTTTTATAATAAAAACTAGAGGCCTGGTGCATGAAAATTCATGCACTGGAAGGGGGGGTCCCCTCAGCCCGGCCTGCTCCCTCTCACAGTCCGGGAGCCCTTAGGGGTGGGAGGCGACCCGGCGATCGGGGGAAAGTGACGCCCCATCACACCTCTGCTGCTGCCACTGCTGGCAGCACAAGCCTCGGCCGGCCCTGGTTACCCGAGCCTTGGGAGGCCCTGGGTGGCTGGGCAGCCGCCATCAGAGGCTTGCCTGTGCCTCGGGCTGGCCCTGGGGGGCTGAGGGAACTGGGGGTCTCTGAAGGCAGGCACACAGAGCGTGCCCGGCCTTGCTGAGCCTGCTGCCCCGGCGGGGCTGAGGGGACTGGGCACCACCATCTTGTGGCTGTGGACGCCGCCATCTTTTTGAGGGTGTGATAGTCAATTAGCATATTCCCTCCTTATTGGCTGTGGGTGCCGCCATCTTTGAGGGTGGGGCAGTCGATTAGCATATTCCCTCTTTATTAGATAGGATATGTAATGCTTCTTATTAAACATCTTATATAATATAGGAAAGTGTAAAGAAAAAAGTAAAAAAAAATTGTCCATAATCTTATTTTCCAGAGGTTATCATTGTTAATAATGGACGTATTTCCTTCTACACATTTTTCTACACTTATTTTTACATGTGTGTATGCATTATATTTCAAAAGTGGGATGGACTGTTTTTCGATGTGCTTATATTATTTGGCAATGGTAAACATCTTCCTATTCAATAAGTCTCTGAAAGCATCACTTTTAGTGGCTTCATACTGTTTGATCATGAATATACTACATAGCCACTCTCCTATTAAGCACATGGGTTGCTCCACTTTTTTTTTTTTTTTTAATGTTATGAAGCATACAGTAGAGAATATCTGTGGAACTTACTCTTTGGGCGTATTATTCTGTTCTTGTTCTTAGATAAATTCTGAGAAGTGGAATTGCTGGGCAGTACCTCTCGCCTTTGTAAAGGTCTTTTTCTTTGGTTAATATTGCCTAAGTAGAGCAGGACATTGATTGCCATCTGACATGGAGTATTTGCCTGGGCTTTTCAGGACAGGAAGATGCCACCCAAGCGTGTGGCTAAGAAAAGGTCACCCCCAGAAGATGCTCTCCCCAAAAGCAAGAAAGTGAAGGGTAAGTTGGCTTCTGTCTCTATGTATGGCCTCTTGAAGCCCCCAAAATCTGGAACTGGGCTTCTTCCCCGCTGACATTTGAAGCTGAGGGGCCTGGAAGTCCATAAGCTCCACCCAGTTGGCAGGTCTCCTGTAGGTCATTGAATCCCACCCTCAAGGAATCATAAAGGCACAGAGACTTGTTCAAAGCACTCAGGTGGTACTAGCAAAACACTAGACCCAAAGGCTTTGCCCCAGGCAGTAGTGGCTTATGGTTTGGACCACTGGCATCCAGATGTGGGTTCGTGGCCCTGCCACTTTCTAGGTATGGAGCTTTGAGCAAGTACTTACTCTCGCTGAGCTTGGATTACCCTTTCATGAAATAGGAGGCGAGAACAATTCCAACCTCACCGGCCTGTTGTGAGGAAAAGGAGATAATGTCATGGTAGCATTTGAGGGAGGTGGCTGTGGTTTCCTCTTTTCTGGAACCCTGGAGGGAGACAGGGAGGAGAGATCCACCCCCAATCTGAGAAGGGGGAGTGTGGACCCATACTCAGACAGTGTCTGTCTTTTGCAGACCCTCGTAACCAGGCAGTGAGGGCCGGTGCTTCCCACCGCGTTCCAGGCGCCCGCTACACCCGAGGTGCCTGCAGGCCGAGCCCTGCCAACCAGAAAACCCGACCAGGTGGCTCCCTGCCCAGCACAGCCTCAGAGGCCCTGGCAACCCTGGGGGAGGGACTGGACACCATTGGCTGTCCAGGGCCACAGATGGTTGCCATTGGCCAGCAGATGGTCCTGGACTGCCCACTGGTTGGCGCTTACCTCGGCAAAAACCTGTGTTAGCTCTTACTGCTGCTCCTCCCTCTTCAGCTGTGGTTGTGTACCTACTTATTGGAACCAGGGTGTCTGTGTGAATATGTTCAGGAGTTCCGTGACACCCTGAGGATGGAGGCTAACTGTAGACCCATGTAGGCTCCCTTGGTTTCAGTGCAAACACTATTACTTATTAGCTCTATTAACCTCTCTGAGGCTCCATTCCCTTTCCTATAAAATGGGATCTTAAATATGGAAGCATATTTAAGTCTGTAGCATAATTTGGGGAACTGCAGAGCAATTTAGCATTAGTGGAGTAAGCAGTCAGTAAAGAGTAGACTTTACACCTGAGCCCTCACTCGGCACCATGGCGCCTTATCAAGAACTTAGAGCTACTCAGGAAAACTATCTTGGGTGCTCACTGTTCTCCCCACCAAGATTCATTTCACAATACTGAGTGTCTCCTTGTTTCTATTTCCTTCCTTTCGATTAATAATGTGCTCGATTTTTAACCTTTACACAAACCCTGTGAGGTAGGGACTTCTGATATCCCCATTTCACAAATGAGGAACTTGGGCTCAGAAGGGTCATACTGAGGTCTGTGGCAGAGCAGGGGATCGAACCCAGAGCCCATGCAGTGACCTCTCCTCTCTCCCATCATCCTACACACTCGGCTGTCTTCTTCACTCCTCAGTCTCACATAGGTCCCACCGCACAGAACCGGGCTTGGTGCTGACACTGGGCCAGGGTGACGTGGGCCAGTTGGGGCTGGGCGAGAATGTGATGGAGAGGAAGAAGCCAGCCCTAGTAACCATTCCGGAAGACATTGTACAGGCTGAGGCTGGGGGCATGCACACCGTGTGTCTAAGCAAAAGTGGCCAGGTAGGCTGGGGACGTGGCATGGGATGGATAGGGTCTGGGGGAGGAGGCTTGGAGATGGAGCTGGCTAGCTGCGCGGGGTGGTCTGAACAAGAATGGACTGAAAGGCCAGATCTTGCACTAATGGGGGCATCCTGGGCACAGGTCTACTCCTTTGGCTGCAATGATGAGGGTGCCCTGGGAAGAGACACATCAGTGGAGGGCTCAGAGATGGTTCCTGGGAAAGTGGAACTGCAAGAGAAAGTGGTACAAGCGTCAGCAGGAGACAGTCACACAGCGGCGCTCACCGAGGATGGCCGCGTCTTCCTCTGGGGCTCCTTCCGGGTAAGATGGGCTGGAAGACTGCATGGGCTGGCAGACAGAATTAACTGGTGGGGCCCCAAGGATAACCTATCTCCATGCCTCTATTCTACTTACTGGTGAGGAAATCAAGTCCTAGAAGTAGAGCTTGGGCCCAGACCCAGCCAGGTCTCTGGCTTCTTCATTCAGGCCTGTCCACTCCATTGGCTGCTGCCTAGAATCTGATGTTGTGAAGTGTGTCTTAGGAGAGAGGTGGGTCAAGGATGTCTTTGGCCGAGGCTGATCCAGCAAGCCTGTTGTTCGCACCCATCTTGCTACCTTCAACCTCTCCTCCCTTCCTAGCTGTCTTCCATGCTTCTCAGGAATATTGGATTTTTATATTAATTTTTATTTATTTTAATGTATTTTTATTGATTTCAGAGAGGGAGAGAGAGAGAAACATCAATGATGAGAGAGAATCATTGATTGGCTGCCTCCTGCTCGCCCCCTACTGGGGATTGAGCTTCCAACCCAGGCATGTGCCCTTGTCCGGAATCGAGCCCAAGACCTTTTCGTATGAAGGCCATAGCTCTATCCATAAGCCAGCGGTCGACAACCGGTGGTCCGCAGACCACTGGTGGTCTGTGAGGTCCGAAAGGTTGGCGACCACTGCACTAAGCCAAACCGGCTAGGGCACTCCTTTGATAGTAGACCATATGTGATTTCATTCATAAGCATTTCACTATATGCCCTCATTGCTTTCATTCATAAGCATTTCACTATATCCCCATCTGGCACCAGTGCCCCTTACCAGACAGCTCTATGGTTGATCCGGCTGGTATGGGGCATGCAGGACTGGCTGAGTGCTCTGCCCTCCCTTCTAGGACAATAATGGTGTGATTGGGCTCTTGGAGCCCATGAAGAAGAGCATGGTACCTGTGCAAGTGCAGCTGAGTGCGCCTGTGGTGAAGGTGGCCTCGGGTGAGTCTGGGCAGGAGTTGGAGAACCTTATTCTGGTGTTGGCCAAGCCTTGGGCTCTACAGACAAGTCCTGCATCTCCTGCCTTCCTCTCATCCTCAGGAAACGACCACTTGGTGATGCTGACAGCTGATGGTGACCTCTACACTTTGGGCTGCGGGGAGCAGGGCCAGCTGGGCCGTGTCCCTGAATTATTTGCCAATCGTGGTGGCCGGCAGGGCCTTGGTAGGTGGGCTAGGTCCCTCTGCCAGGGCAACTCAGCAATACACCCCCTGATGAAGGTCATAGGCAGGAGGGATTCTCTGTGTGCGTTTAGGCTTACATCAGATAGACTTGCAGTGGTAGTTAAGGACATTGACTCTAGCCATGGCCAGTAGCTCAGTTTGTTTGACCGGCGTCCCATTACCCCAGGGTTATGGGTTCAATCCCTGTTCAGGGCACATATAGGAGGCAACCAATGAATGCATAAATGAATGGAGCAACAAATCGATTTTCTCTCTCTCTCCCTCCCTCTTTCAAATCAATAAATAAATTCACAGATAGATAGATAGATAGGTGATAGATAGATAGATAGATAGATAGATAGATAGATAGATAGATAGATAAGAACTTTGACTCTAGAGCCAGGCTACCCTGGTTTTGAATCCTGGTTCTACCACCTGTTGGCTATGGGACCCTGGACATAGTTTTCTCATCTCTAAACCTACCTACTTCATTGGGTTGTTGTGAGGTTAAATGAGTTAACAGAGAAGAATGGCACCTAGTAAATATCCCATGTAAATATTACCTCTTAGGGCTGTAGGAGTCTGAGTGAGGCTCTTTACTCTCTTGGCCTCAGATACCTCTTCTGTCTAACAGGGAGAAAAGTGCCTGCTTAGCATCCCTTCAAGGGCTTTAGTGATGTGGGAGAAGCCACCATGGGGCAGAGAGGAGAGGCTTTGTGTGTCTGCCACTGACCTTGGCTTCTTCTCTGCCTGCAGAACGACTCCTGGTCCCCAAGTGTGTGATGTTGAAATCCAGGGGAACCCGGGTCATGTGAAATTCCAGGATGCCTTCTGTGGCACCTACTTCACCTTTGCCATCTCCCTTGAGGGCCATGTGTATGGCTTTGGCCTTTCAAACTACCATCAACTTGGTGAGTCCCAAACCCAGCATTGGGCATAGCCAGAGTGACCTGGGTTCCAATCCTGGCTCCACTACTCATTTATTGTACACCCTTGGTGGAGTCACCCCTCGGAGCCAGTTTTGTCATCTGTAAAGTGAGAATATTCATGTGCTGGTAGAGGGTAGGATGGCCTCAGTGGGGGATGAAGAAGAACAGCTCCTTGGACACTTTTACCCCTGACAACTCTCTCCGGGCCTTGCCTTCCAGGAACCTCAGGCACAGAATCTTGCTTTGTACCCCAGAACTTGACATCCTTCAAGAACTCTACCAAGTCCTGGGTGGGCTTCTCTGGTGGCCAGCACCATACAGTCTGCATGGATTCAGAAGGTGGGACCTCTGGATCAGGAATGCCCTCATCTCTTTGCACGGGCCGGGCCTGATCCTGAGACCATGGCTCCTGGAACCTGGGTCTGCTTCATAGGTTGGGCCAGATGTGGGTCTGTGAGGGTCACAACTAACCCCCCAGAGTCCTGGTGCTCTTCCAAGTATGAATTCAGTGGGGGCCTGTGGAGGCTCTCCCAGGCCTCCCCAAAACTGGGAGAGATACTGAAGACTCCTCCTCACCACCCAGGGAATGAGGACCAGCTCCCATGGATATGGGAACTCAACTGGCCAACCTGGAACACACCCTCTGCTACTCCACCCACACCTTAAGTCCAACTCCTGTCTACTCTCTCCCTCCTCCCACAGGAAAAGCATACAGCCTGGGCCGGGCTGAGTACGGGAGGCTGGGCCTGGGAGAGGGTGCCGAGGAGAAGAGCATGCCCACCCTCATCTCCAGGCTGCCCATCGTCTCCTCCGTGGCTTGTGGGGCCTCTGTGGGATATGCCGTGACCAAGGATGGTAAGTGGGGCTGCCCACATTCAGTCTGATTGGGGCCTGGGGGTTGTGACTCCTGTCAAATAGCCCAGCAGGCTCTGATGGCCACCATGAGATAGATGGAGCTGAGATGCAGTATTTATGAAAACATGGTTTTTCTCCTGATTGTCAAAAGCTCTGATTTTAATGTACTTAAAATGAATTTTAAAATTATTTTTTATAGAGAGAGAGTGGAAAGGCAGAAGGGGAGGAGAGAGGAAGAAATATTGATTTGAGAAACATCAATTGATTGCCTCCCGCACGTGCCATGACCGTGGCTGGGGATCGAACCCACAACCCTTTGGTGGATGGGCCAACACTCTCCACTGAGCAACACTGGCCAGGGGAATACACAAATTATTTTAATAAAGGTAATTTGTTTTGTAGAGGAAAAAAAAACAGCAAAAGGGGATATATAACCGAGACCTGGCCAGGCAGTAGGACTTGAACCCAGGTCTCCAGACTCCTGATTCAGGCTTTTCTTTACATTTCCCACCATGGAGGGTGTAAGTGAGCAGTCACCAAAGCCTGAGTGGATGAGGGTCACAGCCATGGAAGCCTTGAGAAGTTAGGCTAGTGGAGGTGCTTGATGTGGTAGAGTTCCTGAGGAAGTGGGGCTTGTACTTACACCTGAAGATTTCTGATAAGCAAAGGAAGGCATCCTGGCACAGAAACATCCAGAGCCGTCTCAGAGGTGGCTGGTCCTGGGAGTGGAGGGTGGTGTAGAAGTTTTCAGAGTGGCTAGTCACAGTAGGGCCTTGAATGCCATGCCTAGGAATAGGGGGAAGTAATTGGTGGTGGTTAAGGGCTGTGGTCCCAGGATGACAGAGCTCTTATCCATCATCTCCCTGGCTTTTCCCAGCTTCCCTGAACTCCCAGAGGCTGGGTCATTGCCAGGTTGCTATAGGCCAAGGCTAAAATTCACCCTTCTTTCCCAGGCTTCTGTCACTCAAGAAAGGTGAGGCTATGGATTCTGAAGATTGCTGCCCCTGTGTCTCTCTCTTGTAGGTCGTGTTTTTGCCTGGGGCATGGGCACCAACTACCAGCTGGGCACGGGACAGGAGGAGGATGCCTGGATCCCCGTGGAGATGACAGGCAAACAGCTGGAGAACCGCCTGGTTCTATCTGTGTCCAGCGGGGGCCAGCACACAGTCTTACTAGTCAGGGACAAGCAACAGAGCTGATGAAGCTTCTAGGGCCTGGCTCCCGGCCCCCCCTCCCTCCTGGAACACAGAAGCTGTGATGACTACAGACTCCAGCAGGCCTTCCCCAGCCCCAAGTACTTTGTCATCACCTGCCTTTTTTCCCATCCATGGGACAGAATCACTTTCCTCTTTTTTATTCCTCCTTTCTGGAATTAGCCTGTAACCTATAGGATGGAGAGGGCGGAATGGAAGAGGGGAGTGGGTTTTGTTGGAATGTTTGATTCCCACACCCTGAGGAGTTGGGGCTCCGTCAAGCCCTACTCTAGTCATGTGCCACTCTTATGTCCTTCACAATCCACAGGCAGACCAATGGTACAGTTGTCGGACCCAGCTGTCATGCACCTATGCCTGGGGGAAACTGGAGAAGGGGCAGGGCTACCAGCCATGGGCAAGCCCAAGCCAAATATTTGGCCCTGAACAGGTGTCCAAAGGGGCAAATAAAGAGTGATCCTCTACTTGATCAAGAAAAAGGCCAATCAGCTTTTCTCCCAGAAGCACAAGTGTTCTGTCCTGCACTGCCCATCCACCTGCCTCACCTGCCTGAAGTCTGGACAGGAAGCTGGCCTGTGGAGCAGGACATGGGGGCGAGGGAAGGAGGGTATTATAAACAAACAGCAATATCGAGAGTGAAGGGAGGGCAGGGAAGAGGGTTGGATGGGCAGAGACTGGTTCCCAGAAAGGGAAGCAGAAGCTTGTACCGTGTCTGAGAAAATAGCAAGCAGGTTTTTTTTTTTAATGTAAAGTATTTTAGAAGAGAGAGTGAAATCTTTTAACATTTTGAATAAATTTAGAGTTTTATAAAACAGGCCACTTGTTTTCTACACATTCCCTGCTTTTTTAAGGGAACATCTGCTGTGTTGGGAAGGGCAGGATAAACCCACACCTGTGGACTTTGTCAAGACTAGGACTTAAGGTGATGTCAAGATGTCCTGATGTGTGCCTGTCAGCTGTGACTGTTCCATACAAATCAAAAAAGATTTTATTTTTGCTTAGGTATTTATGTTTCAGGAATCACTGTATTTAAAAAATTTATGCTGCATAATATGAGAGACAGAATGGTTCTTTCAACATCCTAATCCCAAATCAAGATGGTACATCTCTACAAATACTTTTACTAAGCTTGCTGTTTTATCATTTTCAACAGCTCATGTAATTGATAAAACATGATTAACTGCACAGTAACTCCTAAGACAACTTATTCATATTGATGTAGATTTTCACAGGCATTTGAGCAAACAAAATCATAGAGCTGGCCTGTCTAATATGATGGTCACTAGCTACATGTAGCCATTTACATTTAAATCAATTAAAATGTGTAAAAATTTTAAATTAACTTCCTTTTTGCACTAGCCACGTTTCAAGTCCTCAATAATTACATGTGGTTAGTGCCTATGGTATTGGGCTATAGAACGTTTCTATAATTTCAGAAAGCTGCAATGAATATTGTTGATACAGCAGGTCTGTATATGAATAAGAAGACATTTTTATTAGGGCCAGGAGGATTTTTCTTGGATGTCAATGACTCTTGGAAAAATGAATATAATGTAAAATAACAAAATGTAGTCTGTGATTTTTTTCCCCCCCTTTTGAATTTTTAGTTTTGATACAGGCACTATACTGATTAGAAATTGACTTCTTAAAAGGAAAAAAAAAATCACACTTTGATCAATCCCTCTCCCCCATCCACCACCAATTTAAATTGGATTAGATTTATTGGAGTTTTTCCCTTTTGACAATATAGCGGGTTGGAAGTGCCTTGTTTTTAATAATAGCTCTTATGGAGTGGGACCAAAATGGGCCAGGCATTGTGCTGAGCACTTAATAGGCAATAATAGTTTGTTTAATCCTCACTTCACACCAGCTTTTAAAGTAGTAATTGCTGTCTCAGGAAACAGTCCCTGAGAGTTGAAGTGTAGGCTAGAATCTAAATCAGCTTTTACCTGAACCCAGAACTCAAGTCCTTTTCCTTGTATTGCAAGTTCTCTGTTGGTGCCTTATGTATATCAGAACTGTCAGGCACATAGTGTTCTCTAGTATAACTATTGTACTTTTTTTTTATTCCCTGGAATTAATAATTAATTGCCTTGTTTTTCAAATGCTTAGTTCTATCTTCCCTCATCTTCTTCCATCCTGGATTGATTACCCCAAAACAGATGTAGTCATAGTACCCCATGTGGCTCAGCTATAAATAATGTAAATGTTTAATACTGCTTTCACAAAAATTAAGATGGAGAAGTATGTATGTAGGAGGGGCAGTTGTTAAAATATCTGAAACTATAAATGAAGAATAAGTATGTTATTTAGAAATATGCAGGTACATCCTAAGGAAAAGATTTGGAAATCATTGCCCCAATAAAGTGAGAGTTGGGGGTGAGGATAGATGGGGTAAGGGACTGCTGTTTATATCATAAATTCAGCAAATTTTTTTTTCAGTGCATACTTACTCCCAAACATTGTAGGAATTTTATTAGGAACAAATGTATAAAGATCCCTGTCTCATGAAGCTTATATTCTAAGTAAGTATGTAAAATTTTTCCATACTTTAAAAATAGTAAGCAAAGAGCACAGCACAGGTTGGCAAACAGAACTAAATATATTGCTATAAGTTATCATTTGAAGGTCTCACAACACCCTATAAGGTAAGCACTGCTATTATCCACATTCATCTCAGGTTCAATAACTTGGCAGAATAATTGAGAAGGGGCTGGGATTGGTGCCCCATTTGTTTGAATCTAAGTAACTAGCACTTACTCTGTGCTAGTTACTCCTCGCAGCTGGAGCCCTAGCCAAAGCACCCAACCACTACATTACTATTGCGGTGAAATTTGGCAATTTTGGCAACTCTTGGTTGGATCTCGTTTTCAGACCCATGAGTGCCTGACATAGGGGCTCATCGGCTCAGTTGGGAGTCCCACAAAGGGATCCGGAAGCATTTGTTATGAACTTCACTGTTTGAGACAACTTATCACCAACAGAGGTCCCATTCTGAGAAATGGGCACCAAAGTGAGCCGATGGCCTGGGACACTGTTAAACTCAAGATTCAAGTCATTGATATCGTGTTTACCAAGGCCTTCCAGGGGCAGGTTAAAGTCCCTGGCGGTTTGGATTAGGGTAGTGGATCTGGGACTCAAGAAAGCAGAGTGACAAGACTAGGGATTGACTGGTTGAGATGACAGGATTGCCCCAATTTACACTCCATTTAACCCCGCCCCCTCCGGCGATTCACGGGAATGATGGAGGAATCCCATTCCAGCTTCAACAAAAATCGCGTCTTGCGAACTGGGTGGCTGGGGCAGACCAGTGGCTTGTCCACAGAGTTCATGGAACTGGATCGTCCAGGCTCCCAAAGGGGACATTTCACCTTAAAAAAACAACTTGTATTTGCAAGTTTCTACAATGAGCGTATATTACTTTTGAAACTTCATTTGTACATCTGTTTAACTACATAAAAGTCAGAAAGAAACTCGAGAGCCAGTTACCCCAGCAACCCACCAACCTGCGCAGGGTGAAGTCCACCCGGCACCGCGCCACGGACTCGGATCCCAATTCGCCCGGAGGGACCCGGAAGCTGCGCCTACTGAGTCTCCGGAAAATTCCGAAGCGGCACCGGCCGGCGCTGCCCGAGACGCTGCGTCTCGGAGCGTGCGCATAAGGCAT